AAGGTCCCTGCAAAAAAAATTTAAATCTTTGAGAAGAGAATTTGCACACAGAGGCAAATCAAAAGTAGTTATACAAAGCTGACCTTGTTAATCATTCTATTAATTCAGTCTACTAAAAATCAAGTTGTTGTTGTTCTTCTCCCCAGTGGAGCCATTTTACACACTGTTGTCACCGCAGCACTCTCTGCTCCCTTCATGCTGCGCCACAGAAGCTCATTTCAATCCGAGATATGCCGTGTTGGACACACACTGTGACTAGTGCCTGAGGAAAGCGCTATTGTAGGTCAGTTACATATTTATGCTTGGCGTTGACTGCAATGTAACACAAGGAAGAGAGCAACAAAGCCTTAAAGAGGATGTGAGTCAGAGTGAAAACAAACCTCCATTTAACAAACCAGTTGGCAACAAGTCGATATTGAGCTACCAGGAGGCAGCTGGTGTTTGAAGAAAACACTATACTTTCTTGATTCTGTTATTTTATCACATTGGCAGGTGCTTTGCACAAGTCTGATTGTTGTGGGTGTAGACGATGAGGCAGCGAAGCGTCTGTTTAGTCCGAACTGAGCACGAAGAGATTTTTCTGTTTACTTCCTGTCTAATCTAAGCCATTTATAAATGTTCTGATTGAAAACCACATCACCGACGAAATATTTTCCACAACATTAACTCTGGAGAACGTCCGCACAATCAAGTCCAGACACTTCCTGGAGTTCACAGATGAATAGGAAGAAACCGAGATTCTGACTGTGAACTGTCCATAGCTAAAGTTGATCCTAGGCTGTTAATTATGTTAAGTGTGTGATGTCTGTTGTTGTGTAAAATGTAATGAAACGGGCGTAAAATGTTGTTGGCCGTTCAAATCAATATAAAAATAATAATTAAGACCAAAAGGTTTCGAAACTCGTCTTTACAAATTGAGATGTACATGTATGCCTCCTCTTTTTCATCCAGAGATATTTTTATTCTTTTTGTATTTTCAGTTTTGCATCCATATTGTGTTAGAATTGTCATTAACTTGCCCCCAGAATTATCTGGATATAATCCTGCTGTGTTTTCACATGCGCTTCCCTGCAGTTTTTATGATGGAGCTGGAAGGAAAGTCTCTGCAGAGTGTCCGCAACTACTGACTTGGACATTTGTGTTCCCACATTCAACCCCTGTAGAGAATTTCAGGAGAATATCCGGAGTTCAGTGAATGTTTGTAAGCAGCTTCAGGCAATGCTTTAAAGAGACCACAACCACGGCTGCATCCGACACCAGAAAAGATTCATCCAATCAACAGTAGCCTCGTCAATGTAAGATATTTCAAAACAGGAAGTTCACAGGTGTTAAAGGTGACAGCACAGTTCATTTCAAATCTAAGTTTCCTTTGGTGCGTTCCCTTTTATTTTGACCTATTTTTATGTTACAAATAAATTTAAACTAGAGCAAAAAAACATACAAAGCTCCATTTTAAAAAGTGCAATGAATGAGCACAAAACACATCCTATGTAACATTAGTCTCTTTTCTGTAGCTGCAGCCTTTCATGGACACAAAGACGCCCAGTGTGGGAGACAATGGGACACAGCCACACCCAGTTCACCCAGGTAGGGCAGACACCCACACAAGCAAGTCTCCCGAGACAGGTAACATGCTCACATTCAGTGTACGGAACAAAACAACAAAGACACGCCCTACTGCTCCCTGTAACATCAGAAAATTACATTTGATGTGAAAAGCAGGGAGTGCCGCAGACAATAAGGTGTTAACTTTCCAAAACAATGTAATATCTTTGACAAGCTGGATTACAGGGAACTACTTTTATGTAGTGTTTTTAAAAAGGTTTTTATATTTAGTTCAGTGTTATTTAAAAAAAAAAAAATCTTTAAGCCTTGCACTTATTTTCTGCATTAAGATACGACAAAGCCATTTCCTGGTTCAACCTGACATGATAAACTAACTGTAGCTGTCCATAGAGAAATCATAAAATATACATGTCACACAAAATGGCAAATATTTACTTTTCTGCTTCTAAGATGTGAATATTTTAAGGTTTTCCATTTTTCTGAAAAGGTTAAAGGTTCAGTGTGTAGAATTTAGTGACATCTAGTGGTGAAGTTGCATCTTTCAGGTGAATAAAAACGAAACAAAACAAGATAAGGTTGTATAAAACAAACTAGATAGTATACTAACTCTTCAATCAAACTTTTACATGATCATAGGAAAAACCTCAGTCAAGATGAAAGTTACCTAAACGGCAGTGTGTGCACGGCAGACAGCGGTTCATCCCGTTGGAGTGTGCAGTGTATGTCTGTCCGTGCTCACAGGGAAGACACGTCCCTTGCTCTTGGTCTCTCTCACAGGCCTTCTGCACAAAGGATCCTGCAAACAAAACAAGAGAACACTCAGACAACAACTCAAGTGATTAATGTTTACACTCATTTGTACAGCCACATCCTGACGTCACCAATGTGATGCATTTCCTGCTGAAACAGGATGTTGGGGAAGGACACACCATAGTGAGGGATCGCACCATTTGCAGGGCCTCTGAACCGGAATCCAAGAGGATTTCAGTTGAGGGGGGGACATGCAGTTTGACATTTAAGTAAAATGTTTTCGTGGCTTGTACATTATTCACAGTTTGACATGAGATGACAGTTTTCCATGAAGAAGTCCACATTTCTTGGTGACTGGAGGGAAAGGAACCAATTTACTGAGCAACACAGCAATTTGACCTCGTCCAATGGTAGATTGTCATACTTTGAATTTTTATACTGAGTTCATGCATGCCGGGAATAAAACCACTTGATTCTCATGTGTCTTCAGGATTTATCTGATGCACAAATGAAAAACAACAACAACAGAACGGCTGCAAAGACATCTAAGGTTGAGCTCAGTGAATATTCGGTAAAATAGGGGAATCGTTCACACACTAGGCGGAAGGACCCCCTTGGGGGGGTCATGAGACATCAATGGGGGGTTTGTGTGATGATTTCCAGAAATTACATAAAATTTGAAATCAAACTCTAGGGATAATGGGGGTCGCAAGGCACCGTTATTTTGGGCGTCCGGGGATGAAAAGTTTAGAGGGCCTAAAAATAGAGTACTGGTAAAGTACAGGGGTAAAAACTGGTTTTCAAAGTTCATCCAGGCCAAAAACATAAGGGGTGATTAAATAAGATCATACTGATGAATAGAAGCAAACACATTTAATTAATTAAGTGGTCAAAGTGGTTTTTGAATATGTGTCAAAACTGACCAACTGGCAAGAAAACAGAATCCCAACACACACACACTATATTTTGTACTGTTGGCTCTGTGGACACTGATTAGGCAGTTTTTCAATATAAGAAATTAAGTTGATTAGTTGTTACACGGAGCCGTCACTGAATCTGTAACGTCAACGAGACACAGAACTATGCAATGAAAGTAAACACAAGGTTTTAAACTCCTATTAAATGTGTTCATGCAGACATTATTTGATAAAGGAGCATGTGTTTTAGAAATGACACATTAGTTAATAACATTAGGAACTGCTCAATGTGTCTGTATGAAGTTTTATTTAATAGGAAAAAAAACTGAAATACAAAACCTGAGTTGATTCAATAAAAAACAGGATTTCTCAGTATTCAATGGTAAATTCAATAATTGCATTAGCCTAGCAGCAGCATTAGATAATTGCATCTTGGCTAAATAAGTTAAGGCCTTTACCAAATTATTTACATAATAAATAAATATTTGGTACTTCTAAAAACTGGAATTTAAAAATATCCTCAGGTTTATATGCTGTATTTTTCCCTTCACTTGGTGCTTCACTCTGATTTGATGAGTTGGAGATGGCGCAGCTCCTAGACATCGCACATTCTTTCCAGACCAGGAAAGGAATATTTGCAAAACTAGTTTGTGATACAGTTCAGGTTTTGCTTTAGTTAATGTCAGCTCTTTTATATTAGAAGACACAGATCAATGCTACCAGCCATGGTAGTGGGGCTTGAATTGTTTTATTTACATCTTATTTCTGAGTGAGTGTTTCCAGTGGGCCAATGTCAGCCTAACAACAGCCATTGTGGCGATATGTGCAGTAATGCGCAGAGGCTCACGCCAGTATCGGCAAATGCAAGTATGGTCCATAGTGTGTGTTATACAACATATAAATTAATAATATTATATATATGATGAAAGTCTGTGGGTTTATTTAGAAAGTTGAATGGATTCTCGAAGGCAGACCATTATTTAAGCCAAATAAATTGACAAACCCCCCTCAAAAAAAAAAAACTCTGCCAATCACAGATAGATAATATATTTGCCCAACCCTAGTGTGTGTGTGTGTGTGTGTGTTTGTCTGTCAGACCTCATCGCCACAATAACATCAAACTTTCCGGAAGTGTAGTCGAGATCTGAAGGCTGACTTTGAAGGTGGGATCATTCCTACTCATGCTCATGTAATAATGTAAGAATCCAAGTGCTCAAAGGTCGACCGGTGTGATCCCCTGGCAGCTGTAAGATGACTGTACATTGTACTCAAAGTGTTCCTCCTCACCTGCATGGCAGTTAAGGCAGCAGAGTCTCTGGTGGAGGTACTGCTCGTTCTCCACGCAGGTTCTGTGTTGTCGCAGCGTGAGGTTTCTGTATTCCTCGCCGGACCACTGCGATGCCGGGAGGTCCGCTGAGTGACACACCAGCCCAGCAATGAGGAGTGTGGCCATCATCACCTGAATCATCAAGGTCAGGGAGAAAAAGAGGAAGGTGGACAAGAAGAGAAAGAAGGGAGTGGGGGGAAAAAAGACAAAAACTTTGCTTTATCATGTGTTTCCTTAATTTACAGACTCATTAGATAAAGGACAGTAAAGAGGAGAATCTATCTTCATAGGAAACCTTGTGTGAGCAATCTACGGCTTAATTTGAACCATCTGATTTGAACATCTGCTGTGGGAAAGCAATTACGGGAGACATGCAGCTGGTCAGAAGTAGAGGCAAAACAATCCCTTGTGTGCACGATCCAGAACTGCACACCAACTACCTGCAATGCAACAGGCAGCCTAACTTAATTATTCCATGATCTAGTTTTAGTAAAACGCCTTAGTAAAAGAGTCTGCTTCCACCATTGTGGGTGTACCAGAAAAGGTTTTTGATAAGGTATCTCAGCTAACGCCAGCACGGTGCCCATATCAAATGTGATTCCAGAAACCCCATTCATGTCGCAGATAATAACAGGCCTGTGTAGGTGGGGTACTGAGAAGAATATGGCCGAACACTTTAGTGTGGCCCCCAGGCGCTGGTGTTTATTCACACGCTTTTCACCATGTCAATGTGAGAAGGCTCCATTCATTGGCAAACAACACACTTTAGTGCCTCTACTTCAAATGACCCACATTCTTAAACCCCGGCTCTTTGAATGCCGCGACATGCGACACCGCAACGAAGCACCTCAAACGCAACGAGACACCTCCTGGGTAAATGAGAGGCCTAGATTTGGAGGTTTTGTCTCTCTCTCCCCCCCCCTCGCCCCGTCTCCAGCAGAAAAGAACAGGTTAGGGTGGAGCGGGCCAGGTTGAGAGGGAGAAAGAGACGGAGGAGGGTCAATAAAAAAGTGAGACAATGTAGACAACGGTTTGAAGATGGGATGTTCTAGTGGGAATACAGAGTCTTAAAAAGACAGTGTGGGAGAATGAGGGGAAGAAAGGCTGGAGAGCACAGAGACAGACATAGAGAAAAGAGGGACAGGCTGGGGCTGAGACCAGCTCCTGACGCTAGACTTGGCTCTCTGGAGGGCCGCCATGCCTTGTTGCTTAAAGGAACTTTCCCCTCTCTCTCTCTCTCTCTCTCTCTCTCTCACACTCTCGCTCTCTGACTTTTCCCTTCCCTCTGCTCACGTCAGACTTTCCAAAGACGCTAAAAGGCAGACGTGCAGGGGCAGACAACCGGCAGAGCAGTCACAATCACACCATTTAGATCTATCCAAACATTCTAGGGAGTGGGGAGGCTGAAGAGAGACGGAAAGGGGGAGGGAGATAAAATGAGAGAGGATGGGAGAGGACGGGGGGAGGGATAACAGCTTGCATGACACAGGGTGAGTCTTTAGACTTGAATACACTATGTGTGTGACTGCTGGTGGGGTGGGGGGGAGTAGAGGGACATGGGGAAGGAGTAAGTAGAAGGCCGTGTGAAAAGCCGAGAGAGAAAAATGCGAATATAAGCACATGTAGCAGTGGAAAGAAAAGATGGGGGGAAAAAAGACAAGTGGGAAAGAATGAGCTGCTGCGTTGAAGGTAATCCTACACCTCTGCAGAGCAGAAGGAAAACATTCAGTTTTAATCGGTGCCCCCCCAAAAAAAAGTTTTATCCGGGAGTAGCTAATAAATCACTACTGCCAATCAGAGGTCAAAACTCAAGTGTCTATTTGACAGTGAACATGCACAAGCTGCAGAAGGATTACATCATTTCACATTTGTTCATTTCGGGGCCCATTATTCAAAACATTCTCAGGTGTATCCAATCCCGGTAGCTAACCTGGTATGCTCTGCAGTTCAAGGTTGGTGCAGACACAGTTGTGTTTTATAAAAGGGAAATACAGCAGCTGTAACTGTGAATTGTATTAATTTTAGGTTCATCTGACAATCATTTTCTCCATGATTTACCTTTTGGATCTATAAACTGTGAGAAAATGGTTAATCGTGTCCGAGATGATGTATTCATATTGTTTTTTCCAGCCAGTCCAGAAACCCAAAGATGTTTGATTTACCTTGACGTAAAAAAGAGAAGAGCAGCACATCCTTACACTAAAGTAGCTGCAATGAAGTCCTGCTTCGATCTTATAAAATGACTTAAAGGATTAATTGATAATCAAAAATAATTGTCTTACTTTTTTTGATCAACCTTTCACTTCATTAACTAGCATAGCATTCAGAAGAGTGCATATCTCCTCCAAGGCCCAAATGTTTACTGATGAAACCACATTCAAATCACCAGATCCAGATTTTAATTAGGATCTGCACCAAGCACATACATATACAGACCTCCAATTTATATATTGTAAATACCCCATAATTTATATGATTTGTTTTCATCAAGATACATTTTAACTGTTTGCTGATAAAACAGCTAAAATGTGGAAAAATGCCATGTCTCAAAATTGATTGGTTCTTCCTTGGGATGTCCCAGCGTAGTGAGTCGTTTTTGCATATTCCTGCAAACCAACCAATCGAATAACTAACAATCGCACAACCTCCTCTGAAGAGGTGATTAATAGTGTCAGCTTAAAAGAGAAAAAGATCATTTGATGCTGATGGTTTAAGAGATTTTTTATTTGACAGAAGAGATTCTATCCTCTGTGTGCTAGTATGAGAATCCAAAACAAGCTTCCAGCTTTTATTGTGTAATAAACACGGTCAACTTTGTCAGCCGGAATCCTGGTTTGTGGCATTTTTCAGACACAGCCTGTTTGGACTCAGGGAAAACGAACAAGGCCTTTAACATGTGTTCACACTAATATCCTAAGGCTGCTAAACTACATGGGCACAAGTGCTCTGTATACATAAACGCTATGGGCAGCCACAATGTGGCTTAGTTTTACCTCTATAACCGAGCGCGGAGGAAGACTGACTGACCGTAACCTCAGTGTAGAAAGCCCTCCAAACCCACAATCCCTGGAAACTGTCCAAACCTCGGCTGAAGTGGTTCCACTTCACAGCCTTTCTCCATCCTCTGTACAATGAGTGGGCCGGACTGCAGATCATTTGGAAGAACAGTGTCCCATTGTCACGCTTTCAGTCTGCATGTATGATGGGTTAGTACTGTGTGTGTGTGTCTGTGTGTGTGTGCGTGTGTGTGTGTGGATGCAAGTTAAACTAATAAAAGTCACAATAAAATAATGAGAGACCTCCTGTTTTTCTGACAACAGTAGCTTCCCTCCACTTCCTCTATAAACACCCCGCGTTTCTTCCAAATGGACGAACGGCCTTGGCACAAAATGCTGTGTACACTGAGAATGCATTTGTGACTAAATGACAGGACATCCTCTCAGTTGACCCAGGTTATCAGTGGGCCATTTAAGGGGGCTGTGATCACTCCATATTCCCGAGGAAATCACACTGACCTCCATTATATAGAGAAATCAAAAAGAGGGCAGAAGCAGAAAATGCAATGAACTCACACAAGACACAGACGCAAATGACCCAAGGGAGATTCTTCATTTCATATTGGACAGATGATTTCAATCATAGCCCACTGATAAGGACAGACATGATGCACCACATTATGCTCCTGTATCCGGAGTGGGACCTGATTCTTCGTATCATGCTTTTCTTATTAGCCAATCTTTTTCTTCCATCAACTGTTGTTGACTTGTGACAGTTACAATATTATACAGCCACACTCCCAGACAAGAAAGCAGCGAGATAAGAGCTACTGAGAAATTTAGATTCAAAATATCAAAAGACCTCTCATGAACCGTTTTGACGTACTCACATGTGACTTTTCTCAACTCACTCACCACAAAACCAGTTAAAAAGCTGAAATTGCCACTTTTTACTTTTTTATGCAATCAATTTAATCCAGTTTTTGAATTGAACCTTAAGTGCCCAGTGATCTAACAACTTAATCAGTGTATTGGATTAAAGACGGTCATCAGCTGTAGTGTCTGAGTCAACAAACACGTAAACCAACACTGATTAGAGACTATTACTATTTTCATGCTACACTCAAGAATGTAGATACTTTCCCCGATGATATATCAGCACTGTAGCTCAGAACATGTTTCACTGCAGCTGCTGATTTGCAACGCATCATAACTTCAACATGAAACGTTTACTTCAGTTCAAATGCCAGCGACATGTGCCTTCCTCTGACCTCACCCCAAGTCACGTCTTTATCAAATACCACGGCCTCCCGCAGCCACTAAAGAGAGGGAGAGAAACCCTCCTCCACCTCTGAACTAGAGACAGTACAGCGTCTGTATTACAGCTGCTGCTACTGAGAAGTTCATTTAATGTCAGAGTTTATGGAACAATCCCACAAATCAAGTCCTCTCTTGGTGTCGAACATTGTCCCGATATTTTCTTCCGCATTTTTTTTTTCATTGCAACTAATTCTCTAATTGTCTTATCTAACTGAATAAATAATATCTAATGTCATGTGTTGTGCTGTAGGCACAGGAAGGGCTGCAAATTCCACAACTTACTAGAGCCTTAAAAAGTTTTCTAAAACCCCTAATTATTCTGTTAACAATAATATTTGGAAAAGAAAAGAAGCAAGATTGAGAAGCTGAGCCAACAATAAAAAGGGCTGGGTTAATTTTTTATTTAAATCAAGATAGACATTTTCATATAAGTCAATATAGATTTTTATGACAGTAAATGCCACATTATTATTATTCTTTGAAGTTTAAAGAGTGATTTTTGTTTCTGGGTGAAGGTTGTGGCTTTATAATAATTCATGAGCAGAGAATGACGAACAAACATTTAACAAATCTGAGGTAGATCAATTATGTTTTATACCTCCTCAATGTACACAATGCATAATCAATTTATTAATATATATCGAACCTTTGTTATATAATATTGTTTCATTGCCCGGCCCTAATTGATCATCTTAATAGGAGCAGTACATTTTTTTGTGTTGATCAACTAATCCAATAATTGATTAACCAACTAACAATTTAGATCATTTACGGTTAATTCCATGATTTCTGCTCTGTCTTTTAAGGCAA